TGATGATGATGATTTTACTCAAGGTGGCTTAATTGTGTGGGGTCTGTGATTTCGCGGTGGAGAAATTACTCCGGCGGCTTCCTTCGACACCCCAGCGAATGATCGGCTGCCTCTGGGTGTGTGTGTGTGGGGGGGGGGGGGGGGGGGGGGCGGGTGGAGAAAAGGCCTGAAGAATGAATTTCTCGAATTTCAGCAACTACACACAAAAGCCTCGCGTGCGTTGAGCCGCGGCCGACACCGACTTCCCCGTGAAGGTGGCACCATTAATCAAACCTCCATCTGGTGTCACTTTGCCGGTGGAAACGACACCCAGGCCCCTGCTCGTGTCCCTCGCGGCCACGGCATGCAGCCTTCCTGCCTTCCCGTGTCCCCAGAACGAAGCCCACGCGCACCACGGCCCATCCCGGAAGACCCTCTGAGAACAGCTCCCCGTTGGGGGAGGGCAGCAGATCCCCAGGTCGTTAGCAGGAGAAGGTTTGGGGGAGCACGGGGCTGGGAGGGGGGCACACCAGACCTCCAGGCCTCATCTTGGGCACAAACTGTGCTGGCAGGTGACCAAGAAAGCCACACTCAGGGTGACTACAGGTGACACCGTGGTGTCTTTCTCTGCACCCCACAACCCAATGACAACATGCAAGAGTGTCTGTGTGTCTACAGCCAGCAGCTCCCCCAGAAAGGATAGCCAGCTGGCATCGGTCACTCCACGGTGTGAGGCAGGGCGGCTGTCCCCAGGGAGGGCTGTTTCCCCCTCATCTGTCCTGATCTCATCATCGTTAAACCTACAGGCCAAAGACCAGTGGGAGGTGGGCTTAACTGGACAGTCAGAACTCCCTACCGGAAGCCAGGGAGATGAGCACAGATTGTCCCCACCCTCTCTTTCTCCCCTTCCCTGTATATGCGTTATTTTGGGTGCATTGTCAAAACTGCGGTCTGTGTTGAGTTGGGGCTTGCAACCCACCCCTACCCCAAGCCCCATTGCAAGTTCTTCATTTATTTTTTGTTATTGTCCGTAATGGCTGTCCCCAGCCAGGGGCCACTGCCCTCGCCAAGGCCGCAAGGTCAGCGTGCCACCCCACCTCGGAGTCCTCAAATGCTCTAGTGGCCACTCTGAGCGCCCACCGGGCTGGATCTAAACAGGCAAGGAAGAAAAGGGGCTTGCGGCTGCATGGCCAGCCCCTGAGCGCCCAGAAGTGGAGCTCTGACTCCAACCCTGTACCCATTCCCGTGTTAGAGTAAAGCCCTGTCCTGTCCCTGGTCCGCTGGCCCTGCCCATCAACCGCTCCGGAGCACAGACATGGCTGCTGCACGGTCTGACGCCGTCTCCAACTTGGACAAGACCACTCTCGAGATGGGCAAGCCCTTGACCAGAAGCCCAGCCCAGAGACACGCGATTGGGAACCAGAGGGTCAGGCTTGCAAGATCGGATCGTCCCTACGGGAGAAAGTCCTGCACGGCATTGTATCTCTTTGGGGAATGGTGCTGTTTCCCTTCGGATGGTTGGAGCGTTGTTACCTAGCAAATGGGATCGAGAATCCCAGGTTATAAAACAGGAGCGAACAGGATTGTGGTGCGACCCAGCGGTTTCGGGGAGAGGGCTCCAGGAAGCTGCGGGATTTTCGGCTGTCCATCCTCCAGTCCGTGAACCGCACATCAGCAGGGTCAGCCTTGCTGTCCCAAAGAATAGCCACTTTTCACAAACAACACCCTGCACCCCGCCCCAATCCAGGGGAGCCTCCAGAGCAAACAGTACGTCCATCCAACCGACCCCGGGCTCGTGGGGGTGGGGCGGGGAGCACACCGGCAGACCAGCTGACCAAGCTAATTGTCCCCAAGTCCATCTAATGTTTTTTCTTTTCTTTCCTTTTACAAAGGAACACGCTCCCCCCCCCCACATCTCCCCAGCGTGGGCTTGTCCATCAGCGGCGACCCCCTGACAACCCGAGTGCTCAAACTTATATCCTCATTTTGTCCGGCACGACTCTCGGCAGGAAAATCAATATTACAACTTCACACTTAAAAGACATTTTGCAGCGTCGTCACTGCCGCCCCCGCCCGCCGGTGGCCGCCCGCCCGCC